TTTTGGAAAAAAAATCTTCGTCATCGCTCTAGCGACTTCATCCCCTCTTACTAGTACATATGTCACAATGTGTGAATGCGAGGAGATTTGTATCGCTTGTTATGCCTTGATTCGTTGTGCCTTGCTTAACTCGGGCATACAAAAATCCTTTAAATGGTAGTTGTTGTTCCCTGCTTAACAAAGGGTTGAATGTCCTATCGACAGCTAAATTCATTTAATGACGTGCGTGCATGCATACTGGGGACAAAGTATGTTGGTGTAGTTGCCTCGTTGTGATAGCGTGGATCTGTTGCCGACTTTATAGTGCTTTTTCACTGACATGCCATACCGATGGCACCAATTTGGTTTGGTTTTATGTTGCTTAACGTCCTCTTAACAGCTAAGGTCATATACGGACGGCCTCCCCTGTGTGCAAGATGCATGCGTGTAGTGTATGCGTGTGTGTTTTGGGAGGCTGCGATATGTTCGTGTTTGTCTCCTTGTGATAGCGCGGAACTGATGCCGACTTTATAGTGCTACCTCACTGAAACATACTGCCGAAGACCCCCAGCAGGACGCCCAACCCGGTCACATTATACTCACAACGGGCGAACCAGTCGTCCCACTCCTAATTTGCTTTGCGTTAAGCAGGAGTAAAAACTACCATTTTTAAAGTCTTCGGTATGTCTCGGCCAGAGGACAGAACCGAAAGCCTTCCTCACAGGGGCGAATGCTCAACGAATGGTCAAAAGTGAGGCATTGTCAAGGGAGACATTAGGGAGAAGAAAGTTATTTAGAAAGAAGGTCCCAAATTAGATCATGCAATTGGGGGCAGCAGGTACAATTATTATGCCCTACCTGCAGGACCCCGAAGGCACCAATCACAGCATTTCGATCGGTCACATTATACTGACAAAGGGTAAAGTAGTTGTTGCCTTTGCCCAAGTACTGAACGTTAAGCAGGGAGATAACAAGTACCATTTGTAAGGACTTTTATATGTCCCGGCCTGGAGAATTCATTGCCTCCGTCACCCTGGCAAACGTTCAACAGTAAAGTCAAAGGTGAAATACTGTCTAGAAAGGTGCTAAGAATACAAGGTAGCTTTCGGAGAAAGAAATATAAAGATGCTATGAAATCGGCATCAGATTCGAGCTATCCATGATACAAATGCACCAACATACCCTGTCTCAAACATACACAAACATTGAGGCAGATCTTCTTAATATTACCTTAGCTGTTGATATAGTTTTCTACTATTTTCTTGCATGATATGCTTGCATAAACATTTACTTTACGGATGTTAATATGTCGGTGAATGACCAAGGCTGTACAAAAACATCTCCTTTTTTACCGTCACTTCATCTGCAACTGAACAGACAAGAAATCCCAGAGGGAACTTGGCGCCCAATATCGTACCATCCTCATTAGTCTAATGTCAGTTCGATATTTTCTCTGATCTGTTTGATCGAGTCATGAAAACAGGAATTTTTGACGTAAGCTTTATACTGCTGTGTATAAAAGACATGCACAACAAGGGACCCAGGGTAACTTTCATATGACATTTGAGAGAGATTTGGTTTAGTATTGTTTAACATCCTACAGTTGTGGGATCGCACAACGTTACACGATGTGCGGTGTGCGCACGATGTGTGCACGATGTGCGAACGAAAAAAAGTTGGACGATCATTGCTTGCGCACGTTGGACGAACGTTGTGCGATAACAATCGTCGTAGGTGTAAATTGAGGAATGCCTTAACAATATATAAGGTTTGGTGTTTAAACATTTAAACTTGATTGTTTAAGTATGATTCCCCATTTTAGCTTCATCTTTCAGCTTATCTTTCTTAAATTTAAAAATGGCGTTTTCGGTGTTTTTTAAACGACCTTAATCGACATGTAAAATTACAACACAGTCTCGGCAACACAGGTAAACATAATCCACTTTGTACCTGTACCGTAGTTTTCCCACTCCTAAATTGCTGAGCAGGAGTAAAAGCTACCATGTTTACAGACTCTGGTATGTCTCGGCCAGGGGACAAAACTCAAAGCCTACCTCACAGGGGCGAACCCAGAGTTTTTTTTTATTTATCTTAAAGATCATTTATTGTGAGTTAGCAATGCTAACAGGAAATGAAACGCGCTTCAATCAATTTGTTTTTGCCACTGTTAGCTTTAATGCACCATGAATACCAACTGAAAGCGTTCAAGGATCAATTGTGGGAAAAAGTAATGTGGCCAGAAGGATATTTTAACTAAAGTGGTATAACAAGTAAGACATTGTAACGTTTTGGTTTTGTTTAACGTCCTTGACGGTTAAGGTTATCTCAAGACGTGCCGCCATGTGTGCTGTGTATGTGTGCATGTTTGTATTTATGCCGGAGTTAAAACAAAACTGTAAATTATTTATGTGATGAACTGGGAAACAAATATTATAATGGTGATTGCATTGTGACAGAAATTGATGTGAATAAGGATTGTTATCGTGGGAACAAGTTCTGAAAATCTGGTGAGTAAATATTAGGTATTAAGAAAGGTACACCAGTGTATGTATTTGTTGGTCATTTAAAATCTTCACTCCAGCCTCAGCAGCCATATTGTCCTAGGGCACCAGGGCTCAGTGAGGCTCAGGGCAGCATTCTAAGATAGCTGCTAGGGAGTAAAGAGACTTAAATGAACCTAGCTGTTAATTGGACGTTAAACAAAATAAAAACCAAACACACATATTGCTATGCGTAAAGCAGATTGGTTGGTTGTTTTTGTGTACCCAAGTAGAGGACACAAAAGCAAATCCCAAATATATTGGGGATGGTGGTTCCCACATTAGTCGCCTCTTAAGATACACATGTCTCGATCCCTACCTGCAGGGGTGCTTTAAGATAAAGCAAAAAATGACCACAATAGATTAAGAATTAGCTAGTCCTACTAAAGCACAACATACCGCAGAACATCCAGATTTACAAGAAATGTAACTTGACTTTTTCCAAAAAAACTACGTTGTCTGGGTAATTAACTGTTGAAGCTGCATATAGAGAATGCAGTTAACAAAATTGTCGCTTTGATACATACTTATCAGATCCATACTTAATATCACGGTTCATATCAAGTCCCTCAAACATCAGTTCATTTAATTTTGACAATTACGACTTTTATACGAATGTTCTGATCCTTTATTGATTTGTATATCAGGGGTATGTATATTTCCTATAGTTTGTATAACGGATATATCTACATTCCTGTTGATTTCGATGAACGGGATACTTATTAATTTCTTTTATGTGCCTGTTGATTGCGATAGTACCACGGCAACCATTTAATTGATTATATATCTGACGGAAAAGCACTAAGCATACGTTTCATATCCTGTGTGAATGATCTCCTTAGCCTTCCACCGAGCTTGGACATTGCCAATGTGCGGAATGTTCGAGAAATATAAGTTATTCCAACAACTTAACAAGCGAAGCACCACCCTTCTTTGTCAATTTTAAATCATGACGTTTCGCTAGCCTACAACAGTACTCACCTGGAATCCAAAATGTATTACTTATACTTTCTATATAACAATAAATGCAATCTGACTGAAATTACCTAAATTTATTTTCGGTAAAACGATAATGATTGCCTTACTTCGGGAAAAGTTACACCTGCTGGTACCCACTGCAGGTATCATAGGAGGCGACTAATGAAGTAACGCCCTGCATAATTGTGGATTTGCTTTGGTGTCCTCTATTTGGACACAAAAGCGACCACAATAAATCTGCGGCACCCATTACAATATTTGTAATCTTCATCTTTCTTTCTACTTCTAACTACCTTTTATTTCCTAGCGCCGTGTTTGGCAACAACACATCACGTTGGTCTTTATGTTGAGCGTTCGCCCAGGTGAAGAAGTCAATGTGTCCCCAGGCCGGGACATACCAAAGTCCTTAAAAATGGTACAAGATGTAGTTGTTATTCCCTGCTTACGTTCAGCATTTAGGGGAATGGTTCACCCGTTGTCAGTATAATGTGACCGCGCTATCACAAGGAGGCAAGAACACCAACATATATACCCTGTCTCCTGTATACGCAAGTACGCATAAACTACGCATATGGAGGCATGCTCTTAAATGACCCTAGCTGTTAATAGGACGTTAAACAAAACGTTCTTAAATTACCTTAGCTTTTAATGAGCCGTTAAACAAAGTTAAACCAAGTGTCATCATATATAATAAAATTCCATAAAACCTGAACCTGAACATTTTCTGTTTTAGCGTCGATGTGATATTCATATTTATTCGTGTGTAGCAAATAAACTATTGCAATTGAATCACAGAGAATAGCGGTACATTACAGTATCATCACTTAAACAAATTATTATCTTCATATGGTTAGAAACACATGTACACATTGTAATAAACAATAATGGAGGATAAACTCGTCATCCTCAATGTCATTTTGTTTATGTAGCTTACCATCAGGAGATGTTATATTACAGCATTGGCAAAATAAAATATTTGTTTCATGTTTTCACCAATTTGCCCGAAAATACGAAAAAAAAACAGTACAAAAAGATTTCATAGCAAACGTTCAACGACAATGCTGGAAACTACACACGTACCAAACACCATGTAAATCTCCACTTATACATAACGAGTTGAACTCTGATACGCATATGAACCTCGTCATTATAGTATACAGGTGCGTGTGTTGTTAATCGTGTTGTTAGTCTTAAGGTGTAAATGCGATGTTTTATTGTGATTGGTTAGCATGAGGTTTTCATTTTAGAACCGCTTAATATAGAAAGAAATTATCTAACACGTTTAATGACAATCAGTTACGGAATAAAATATATTGATATTTTTGAACAGTCATCCACAATTCAATTAGACAACATTAAACGTTCCACGTGTTTAACTTGTACACCTGTGATACATGTATGTCTGGTTCATGTCATCATCAGGTGTTCCCATGACACACTAATTAGACAGCCACGATAGAAATGGAGTCACCGTCCACTTGCGCCCAGAGAGAGTGATAGGTGTGGTGTGTTCAACAATAACTAGCCACCCACGTAATGTTATCGCAGCTTCCCGACTCGTATAAATGGCAAGCCATAAAAGCCGAGGCCTAGAAAACTCGTCCATTCATCCTCATGATACTGGGTGATATCTGTATGACTTTGACACAGGGATTTAAATACAGAATGAGCGTATTTAAAGCAGGTAAGCATTTTAGACTATCCTAAATACTTTTTATCAGACACCGTCTGTTTGCTTATTTTATGTGCTTTATCCAGTTTAGCATATAATAATATAGTGTATAAATAGTATCAACATGTCTTTACTGAACATGCATGTAATATATTTGGCTTTGTTATTTTAAATGCTGTTTTTCTACATTTCATTTGCAATACCAATACAAATGTTGACATGATTCAATGCTAGGGATGGTTGAAATGGTAAAATATCTTCGGACGTGTTAAACCCGTGATTGGTTTGGCAAGTTAGTACTCTTGGATCTTATAAAGTTATTCACACACAAAAAACACTACGGTTGATTATGGCTTATAACAAAAAGAAAATATCTCTACGACGAAAAGAGTTGTTCATTAAGATCATACCAAAGTAAACGTATTTATTGCATCTATTCTTTTAGCTAATTGTTAACAGAGTTGTTTGTGTGCTGCAATCGGTCGTTCCGGCCGGGTACGAGTCAAAAATGGTCTTACTTCGTAATTTATATTTCTGTTTCACATACCAAATGTATAAGCATAATAGATATATAGATTTTGCTTGATTTTAAGGTGGAAAACATGTAGAACATGTACTATGTAGCATAAATAATGTGTATGCATGCTGTAGTTATATAAATCCTATATTGTTATGATTAATTTTTATGAATAGCATTACACGTGCTTAATAAAATGAGTGAATAGTTTCTTCGCTGTCCGAATGTAAAAACAATACTAACCTCAACAACTGACCATTTATGAAATTTAGCAACGTTATTTGAAACTGAATACTTTGAAATCTAAGAAACGTATTGTCATAATTAAAATCACCTTTTCCTCCTAAAATAAACTCTTTAAATATATCAACATTTTACGTCATGTAAAAGATATAAACGATAGAAATGTAACTCTTTGGTTTTAGTATTGTTGAACGTCCTATCATATCAGAGGAAACTGCACGGTTATCATAACTAAATGAATTGGATTTATTTTATTGCAATTATATCATGAATAAAGGTTTGGTGACTTTATTATCATTGGTTAGTTCCCTGTATTTCCCCACACATTTTCTTGATTATCTTTTAATTTGTTTAGATTCGGGGTATTCATTTTTTTTGTTCTTTTAACCGTCAAATATAGATAAAACATCCGTGTGTATTTCTGTCAATTTTAAAACGGCCACAACAGAGTCTAAGCATCTGCGGTGAATACTGTATATATAATATCAGATGTAGCATCTCAAACTAATTTCACAATGTGACATTCACAATTCAGTTGATGTTTATTGAACTCTTGTCGATATTCCATAAATGTTCCATGCTTAACAGAATTAATAATAGAGATATAACTGTTATTCGAGTTCAAATTAGATAACAAATATTGAAAAACGAGAAACGTTTGACAAGTACAAGGTGTATAAAAACCAATACTCTAAGAAAGAACAACTGTTTTCTGCTTCATATACCGCATCTACTGTGTAAATTGAGAACAAATCCAAGTAATAAGACGTCATTTCAGGGAGAGCCGGTGTAATGACAACGAATCGCGAGGTGTCCCTATGAGCATTAGTAAATAAGTAAGCCTCGACTTTGTTTGATTTTATACACATTTGCGATTACTTAAACCAGCGTTTTACTCCTCACGTATGTCGTAAATTTATTATTAATGTTGTCAAGATCGGTAGTATAATACTCAAATTTAAAGTTTGCTCTAAACGCGAGTTCACACAAGGGGATAGATTACGCTAAATGTGCACAATCTTGCGTGTCACCATCATTGTAGAATACAACAATAGGCTGAAGTTTTAAAAAGTGTTAATGTTGAACCTTCTTAACCGTTCCCCTTATAGTAACGATTTCAACACTGTTGAATTCCCAATTGAATAAATTACGATGCATGTGCCGTTTTAAACTGTGACATCATACAGCTATATCGTGTTAAGATGTTGCTTTGTATTCCTTTTTTCAGTATGTTTTCTGACGGGCCTTACCTATGTGTACAGTCTCGATGCAATGGAAATTGATATCATTATGCAAACACACAATGAGTTTAGACGGAATTTTGCTAATGGATTGTACGGCTCATTTGCAGCAAACATGAACAAATTGGTAAGTGCTGCCTTCCGATCCATTTCATCTTAGTAGCATTCCAATCGTTTTAATCCAAGACAAATATGATTGCTTGTATTCTTGGTTTCTTTTAACCAGCAAGATATATGTCAATTTGTTTATTACTAGAAGAATTTTTAATTTTCTTGTAACTTAAGAGTATATCCAAATAAAAAAGAATACATCTTTCTGTATTTGTTTTAAGACTGGGGCTGTTTTCTAAACATGTAGGGCAACTCATTGTAAACTATCAAACTTGTTTGTTATATCTTCGATTATCATTGCTGAAATGCTACATTTTTATTTTATTTTACAGTAACACTTTTCTATGTTAATTTACAATATGTCTAGTTAACCAAGTACGACATTCAAACTTTGGGTATAGATTTATATCAAGCAAAACATCAAAACGACGTCAAATACCACGTGGATAGAGAAGCGCATATGAAAATTTTACGATATTTGATAAAAAAAATAGACAGCAAATAAAAAAGAACTAATTTAAAAAATACCGTTAGTATTATTCCTACCCAGGTCGCAAACTTTTTGTTTCGGCATAGTACATATTCGATTTTTCTAATATTATACTGAGAGTATGAGAGAAACGAAACATACGAAATAAATTAGAGCGTGAGAGTGCAGGAACTCTCAACAATACATGTCTCAACGTAGTTTTAATCATCATAATTTCAAATAATAATTTAATTAATACAAATACATCGTAAAACATGTGGGCATTTTAAACTTTATCTTTACCTCGGTGTGTCATGAAATGTTTATGGGTTAACATACCATACCTATACAGAATTGGAAAATTAAATTAAAAACTTTTGAAAGAGAGGTCCACTTTCATTCCATGACGTTTCAGGACTGGTCCACTGATCTACAGCTTCAAGCTCTTCTCTCTCTCGACTGTGCGTTGGCATTTACCCAACCTGCTGGCGCGTTCAATACCCATACTAACGTTGGAGTGAGCGCTGACGGAAACATCACCAATCTTATCCGTTCATGGATGTTAGAGAGGCAGCACTTCATTCCACAATTCAAAACGTGCATTAATATTCAACATTGCAAGAGATTTTTGACGGTGAGAAGATTTTTTTTAGAAAGGTTATATTCCAGAATATTTCTCAAATTGTCAATTTAGTATTTCATGTACATTGGCGTCTGCATTGGCAGTTACACGGCAAGGTAAAAAACCGATATCATAAACTAATAGCTAACATTAGTATTGTTAGATTGCATTGTGTATATCTTCAAGAATGGGAGTGGGATTATATTCGGCGATATAGTCATAATCTTTAAACTAAAATACCGAGATATCTAGTTATCTGTCCTCACCATTATAACTCCCAGATAATCTCCATTATTCATATTTACAATTATATTTTATTCATTCTTTTGTTAACATTTTGTTGATTTTGAATTTTTTATATATATAAACTTAAGCCAATTATCCTTAATACTGTTGGGTTCCGAAGTATTTACTTTAGCAAGCTAATTATATGATTTAATGTGTTTAATCTATAATGCAATTAACTTAAGTTTAATGACTTATTTAAGATGGTGCATGCTCGGCAAAGAACTATTGGATGTGCCTTCACTGACCGCTGTCGTGTTAAAAATTCACGTGTCAATGTGCTTGTTTGCAAGTATGCGGGCAGGTTAGTATTCCAGTATTTTTTGCACCAGTAAAATTAATAGGAAAAAGAGGTTCTAATTTTAATAGAATATAATAAATCATATTCGCCCTCGAAAGTGAATCTTTTTCCACAACATATTATTTTTAGTAATAACCTGTGAATGATGATATTAATAGTGGAGCAATTGATGTATCTTACCGGTAAAAGCCGAACGATTGAATTGGCGAATATTGTCCTGCTTGTAAAGTATTTTAGTGAAATTGTATACTTTAACTTGTTATAAAATGACTCAGACGTTGATTTTTTGTTTGTTCTATATTTATATAGAAGTCGTGTGTTCATGTTATTTGAGATTTTGATGCATCGTTTTAGAACTTGTACATCTCTAATCCGAACGGAAGTTGGTATGAAAGCTATTGAAGAACAATATGCTAGAGGTAGAGTCTAATTGTTTTAATTTGTTATATAAAGTTCATGTACGAAATGATGTATGTTACAGTGAGGACGCCATTGTGCCTTTCTATAAACCTGGTCTACCATGTACCAAATGTGACGGAGAAACTCCGTTTTGTGAGCGTGGTCTGTGTGGTAAGTCAGCTCTATTGAAAATATGCAAGATATTTTTACGCAAACGACACTGGGAATTTTCTAACTACTGTTGTAATTTTATAACAGACCTACACAAATGTTTTAAGTAGGCGGTCTATGCTACAGCATACGATATTCAGTTAGTTTGTGTATACAATCCAAATATATGTGTTACAGTTTGATCATTTTCTATACTCTACTGACAATTGCGATTAGTTCTGTCAACTCTCTGTCGTGAATGCCAATACAGCATCTAATGATAGCGGTGATTCTATTGAAACTATGGCAATGAAGGACCTTCGATGTACTAAAACATATATTTCTTTGGAGAGTGTCGATGCATAAAAATATGCTTAATGAAAATAAACATTCTATTGTGAAAGGCAAAATTGACCGTGTGTAGAGGTTATGTTTGTAGCATGCATTATAGTAACCAGAATATTTATCAAGCAAAAATGCCTGAAGTGTGTTTCTTTTAATACAGTTCCATGCACAGGGACATCCGCTGAATGCGGTAAGTTTATTTGTCATTTTCAAATCTCTACTTATTATGTTGTACATAGATATGTTGATATTAATACATCTTTTAAAGTATACATACTATGTTTGCTTAGCTTGAACAATCCATTTACGATTTTATTAAAATATTTCAACCATATATTACCGCATTAAGTAAAAATATGATATATTATTATCTTCTTTATTAGATTGTCGAAAGACCTGTAACAAACACAACATCGGTGCTGGTTCTCTCAACAGTACATCATGCTCTTGCACGTGCTCGTATGGAATGGGGCCGAACTGCGATGGTATGTCTCTTTATTTATGTACATAGACATCAAGAAAACATTTATTATCCTAATACTTGATTTTCAAAATGTGCATTCTCATTTATTTGTTTAATAACACAAGTGCAGATTAATAATCGCCCAGATATATAGTCGGCAGGATCTTATCAATTCCATAGTTTAAAAAACATATAAAGCTGATTTATTTTTATTTTGTGTTGGTGTTATAAGTCATGTCCAGTAGTACCTGTACACAAGACAAGCGAGATTTTTCCGGATTAAGCAGTAGCAGAATCGATGGTTTGTTATATTCTGTGTCGTGATACGGTTTTATAATATGCATTTAAATTTAAATTTTTTGAGATGATCGGTTTAAATTAATTATTTGGAAACTCTTGCGAACGAACTGTTATCTTATGAATTTAATTCAAATCGGTTTTTTAGCTCAGCGAATATAATCATTCTAAGGTGGATTTTTGACCTCATAACAGCATATTGTGAATCAATTTTAATAAAATATATGAATATGTCACGTCTTCTTTAACCTGGGAAGTGCATTATACTTGTTTTTGTTTCTGTACTGTTTCACGGCCCATCCACAATGCTCGCTTTTTAGGGTAAAACAACACTGTACAAATACACATTTACGAAAATGAATACATCAATCTAGAAATAAAACACATTTTTTCTTCAACAGTGTAGGAATTGGTTGTAAAATATATCAGATTTTATTATAAAAATCAGTTGAGTGCAAGTAATCACGTATTGATTACAGAAACCGTAGCAACTTAACTTTTCATAGATGATACATCACAGAATCTGTCGCTATTTTATTTTGAAATCAGTGCATTCAATCATAAAATGTTTAACTGCAAATGGCTGATCGCATAGTTCGTTATTCGTGATATGCAATGTTATAAAAGTTTTGCACCCTTTCATTATCAGAGGACTGTGTTAACCCCGAAATGTACGAGGACTGGGATCCATGCTCTGAAATCACACAGCAGGACTGCCTATTTGACAGGGCTATCCTGGAGGAGATGTGTCCCGTTCAGTGCGCTTGCAGTAAGTATTGCAAAAAATGCAGATACTGTAATCCCACAAACCAATAATATCTAAAGGATTTATACAATTTACTATTTTGCATTTTTTGTGTATTACATTAAGATTGTTTCACTAGAAAATGTCAGGTGGAAGTGTCATTTCTGTCCATTTAATGCACGATATGTAGAAGTTGACCTTCACAATGCATATTTGATCAGTGTCTTACTATCACGTTCTCTTCTATCAGGACGACACCCCAACGCAGGCGTGACACAATAAGACGCCGCTACCTCTGCAGCTAATGTAAAGGACGACATCTGAATACAGAGTTGACATTCTGTGTCTAGGCTTTAGATGGACGACAGTGCAACAGTAAAGCTCTTGGTAAATGAGAGACCGACATTGTGAACATATTTTAGGAAGGAGGAAGATAAGTCTGAACAGATTGGTTTATGAAATGAACAAAGAAACTGTGATAATGAAAGGATAGAGTAATTTGAATATTGTCTCGTTATTTGTGAGTGCGATATGTAATGTTTCCCTTGTAAATAACGTGTATGGTATATATTTTAACAAACATTATCAAGCGTGTTGAGAAACCTATTTATGCGCCTATTGTAAATAGTTTCCGGTATAAACAACCTATCTGTCTACGATGTGTATCTTGTAATTATATAATTATATTTTTGAACATTTGTATGTCAACAATAGAAGGGCTGTTACATGTATTCCTGTATCTCTATTAACGCGCTTGTTGTTCTATGGCATGGCTTTGTCCGTCCAAAAGCCCGTCCGTTTGAAATTTGCTTGTGAGGGCTAAAACCTTTAACAAAAAATACCACCACGCTTCCGTTGCATAATGTAGCAATATTACATGGTGCGTAGAGTAAATGATTCGGCGAGAATAACTGATATAAACATTATTTAACAATGGTCATTCTTTTTAAATTGCGAGGCTGTTAAAACGATGGCCTTACGACAATATTGATGTTCGAATGCCTAATGAGAATGTTCTTACATGGTTTTTTGTGAGAATGGTATTTCCTTTACTAAGCGTCACAAACCTTAGATGAACACTTTTAGAACGATGTTAACTGTTTGACCTAATAAAATTCATGTTAGCTATCCTTATTTCGTAGATTTTGATTATATACCAGTTATAAACCAGGTACATGTACATAAGCAACAGGAGAAACACTAGATAAGACATCTTGGCATTGCCATGTGGATTTAATGACTAAATGAACACTAAAAGACCTTTATCAAGTTAAAACACTGTCATACAAATGTACTGTCGTGTGAACAGAGAACGTACTCGTATTTGGGGGCATCAGGTCAAACAATTTTGGATGTAAAGTGGAACATCGCATTTTAACGTCAGAGGAGTCATTGAGGTTCCCCCATGTACGTATCCCCTGGTTGCAATACGGATATGTCTACATGAATCGACAAGTGCTTCTCCTGGTGAAGTTTATAGATCAACTTGGGAGTCTTCATGGAATTATTGCCACCATCACCTTCATCATGACGTTGTCCTACATCCTAATAAATACTATTGAACCCGTTGGTACGTAGTGAGTCACAATTTTAAAAAGTATACATGATGTAAATTTACGATAGCTTTTAAATTCGAGGTCAAATTATTACAAGATTATTGCTATCAATTGAAATGTGAACTTCAAGATACTGAACGTTTCCTAGTAGACTAAGTCTAACTTTAGTTAAACTGAGAGCATGCTCGTGAAATGTATCTATCTATTTACACCATAATCCTAAACAAATAATAATAAATAAAACATGTAAAAAAATATAATTCAAAAATACGGATGTAATTACTGACTCCGATGTTCAAACTATGCTCAACAAGTTGCAAGAATAGGTCGTAAACGAAACATCTACAACCTTGTTAACACTATTAACCTGTAAATATTGTATGTAGATTGCTGAAAAATTGTGTTTCTTAATCAGGAAATCCATAGTTCGGAAAGTATCAAATCCATTAAAAGATCAAATGCCTGCTAATCATGCTCCTTTTTTAAAATCTTTCAAATTACTGATTTATGTACATCTATTAGATTCCGAAACTTCACCAGAATCCTTAAGAGTTTCATCGTCGGCTCTGCTAGTTGCTAAGGAGGTCTTAAGCTAAACTTCTGCCGTCATAAGCTTAAATCAGGGTTGCAAGCGTATTTAGACACTGTATACTCAAGCTGTTGAATTTCCAAGAATTTGTTTGTGATCATTCTCCACATCCTTTCCTCAAAATTTTCTTCTTTCACAACTTTCAACGTTTCCATTTTGTACAATAGAATACTTGATATCAGATTAAAAGAATGCAGACAAGTGCGCAACGCGGTACACACATATGGTTGCAAATTATCTTCGAGCATACTGTATGAAAATAAGACACATGCAAAGATAATAAATATAGCGAGGATAAAGTCAAGAAAACGGTGTAATTTAAATTGAAAACGACGGACCTTGCAAGATGTCTGTTACAAGTCCTGATAGGTTCTTAAAAATGATCATGATGTGAAAAAAAAAGCTCAGCGAGGGGAGGGGCAATGTATGTATGTATATGCATTATATCTCACAATGCAAGTTGTTAAAGATATGAAATCACAAAATAATTTAGACCTCAACCCACAAGATTACGAAATGATCCAAACAGCAACAATATAAACACTCTATTTTAAACAAATACCATCTCTAAAAAAGGAGCATAAACAATTTGAACTATACATATTTTGTTAATTGATATATCTTTCGAACAACAGCAAGCTTTATAGTGTTTCGCTGAATATCTAACCTGTCCTTATAACAAGCACTATAAAAGCTTACCAGCTGTAATTTGTAAATTCCGTACGACGTGGATGCGATATCGAAGGTTTATCATCATATGCATTAAGACGTCACATTTGCAATATCGGTTATTAGCGGAAAGAGATTAAGGAAATGTATTAACTAAATATGCTTGATCATAGATTAATCATACAAAGAATACATTTTCGATTTAGAAGACGCTTTTAAAACATTATGGTGTATTATTTTTAGTTAATTAGTTAGTGATAGATTTATCATCATTGAATATCTATATCCAAATATAACTGTTACTGTAGATATAGTGATAATGGAAAGGTGTTTGATTGGCATTGTTATTGGTATCGTGAACAAAAAGTCCAAGGAACCTTCCACGTAATGTTTAGAGATAGGGCGTTATCATTTGAGCTGAAATGTCTGGGAAGTTACTTAGATATTTATCGGTAAAGGTGCCAAAACGATGTATTTAGTTTTTCCTAATTAGTGGCTATTCATATCACACTAACATCTGAAATAGTGTATGACTATCTAGACAATCAATCAATGCTTCTTTTGTAACTGAAACATGTCATAGTACGTGTATAACCTAAAGAATTATTGTCAATCCATGAGAGCTTCGTCGTATTAGGACGATTGCCATGGCAATTCAATTAAGCATTTTAACTCTTTACAAATATAATGGATATCCCTGTCATTCGATTGTAACACTCCCAAACCTACTTCAATGGTGCATTCGAAATCGTGACATCATTTAAAGCAGACGCGCTGTTATATTTACCTGATGATCAATAATAACGCATTATCTAGTGTTCTGATCATCCTTGTCGCATGTATTCTAGAAATATCAGTGTGGCACTTATAGCCTTCAAAGTAGTCAAGTCGTGCCTACTTTCGTCTCAAAATACGGTTAAAAATAGTACCGTCAAACAACTAAAATCGCACACAAATTATTCCAGACTTAACATCCAGATTATTCTGTATATTAGATAAACAGTTCACATCCAACGTAGTCTATAGATAAAATTTATGTGACAAAAAAATAATGGTCCTCGATGGCAATCGGTCCCTCCTTCCAACGGAACAGAACAAACAGATGTACTTAGATCGTGAATCGATACCAAGCAGGATGAGGATAATTTATATGGCTATGTCATGCGATGTTTACGTGCGAAATATACGTCACTAGTACACTATGAGTGTTTTATAAATATTCATCTACTTTTTCTTTTGTTTTCTCTCGTTTGGCAATTTATAGCTCATCATTTTTTGTGTTTATTGTAAATAGGACTTCCATTTCATCTATTTTAATTAATAGGCAAATTTATTGCTGATTCTATAATAAGATAATAGATTTGGCGTACCAATGTTTTCTACAGCATAAGACGCACATTTAAAATTTCCAGAACAAAACCTTTACGAGAACATAAATCATGTCGAATTATCGATATCAGTGTCTATGTAATGACGATATATCATAGTTGATTACTATACATTCCTGGACGTATTGTCGGTGACCAACAAACATTCATGGACTTGTTGACAATTACTACTATTATTGTTATTAATGCTTAATGGCTCATCAACACAGGATAGGTCCTTATGGCCAACAAATGGTCGATAACAACAAATGCAAAATAAAAATATCAAACACAAGTAAATGACAAACATCAATTTGAATATTGAAAGTGGCTATGATGACTCAAATTTAATTTAACAAAATTGAAGAGACAGTTATGTTTTCGATAAGACATGTAATGTTATTATAAAAAAATCGATACAATCAAGTAACAAGTGCGTTACTGTAAATGGTTTCTGACACGCTGTGCATTGAGGCTGAACTTCACGTTTATCAACAAACATTCATCGACTTATTGTCAATTACCAATTTATATTCTTAGATTAGTTTTCAATTATCAACATACAATTCTGGACTTGTTGTCAATGATTAACATACATTGCTAGACTTGACAATGACAGGTATTTTCTTTCATAGTCTGGTTCTAAATTACCAACATACATACATGGACTGGTTGCCAATGACCAACATACATTCTTAGACTTGCTGACATTGACCAACATACTTTCCTAGACTTGTTATAAATCATCATCATTCATTCGTAGACTTGTTGACAATGACCATTAGTCTTTCCTATTATTCTTTACAAAGACTAATATCCTTTCTTTGACTTTTTGACAATGACTAACATACAATTCTGGACTTTTTGTCAATGACTAACATACATTCCTCAACTTGACAGTGACCATATATTCCTAGACTAGTTCTCAATGACCAATATAGACTTGACTTGTTGTCAATAACTAACATACATTCCTAGAATTATAAACAATGACCAACATATATCCATTGACTTGTTGTTAGTGACCAATGCACGATCATTTCTAAACTGGCTTTCAACGACCAACATACAATTCTGGACTTTTTGTCAATGACTTTCATACATTTCCAGACTTGACAATGTCCGGTATATATATTCCTTGGCTGCTTTTCCATGACCAACATATACTTTTTGATTTGTTGACAAATACCAACAAACAAGACTCGACTTGTTGTCAATCACCAACATACATTCTAGGACTTGTTTTCAAAGACCAACATATCATCCCAGACTTGTTGACAATGTCCAAAACATAATTCTGAACTTGTTGTCATGGAAGTGAAATTACCCAACAAGGACATAAATGCTATAAACATCAAAAGTCCGTCAAAGCTAACATATCATCCCAGACTTGTTGACAATGACCAAAACATAATTCTGGACTTGTTGTCACGGAAGTGAAATTGCCCAACAAGGACATAAATGCTATTAACATCAAAAGTCCGTCAAAGCTAACATATCATCCCAGACTTGTTGACAATGACCAAAACATAATTCTGGACTTGTTGTAATGGAAGTGAAATAACCCAACAAGGACATAAATGCTATTACCATCAAAAGTCCGTCAAAGCTAACATATTCCAGATAAAATAGTATCCAATTAATTTCTCAATTATTCTAAACCAATTGCTTTCCCAAAATTTTCAACTACAAGACTATACTTCTTTGGTCCGGCTGGATATGAAGTAACTGGCGATCTAATTATAATACATACTGCAAAGCTACGGGAGCTCTTCGTGCAGAGTTCTAAGTATTCAATACAAACAAAGCTGGTCCCTATAGTAATCGCTGCATTTGGTTATCCGAATAAACACAATAGTTGTGGAAGCTTGATTAGCTTGGATCGTATGAGGACGGGTGCCTAGGGAGACACCACCTGCATTAGAAAGAAGATAGGAAGCAAAATCGTT